ATTTCGTACGCCTATTGGTCGAATTTTCGTTACACTTTCCGTGTCGCATAATCAAACTTACTACCGTGCCAGAAGAAGAACCGTCTCGCCAACGCCGTACGCCTATTGGTCAAATTTTCGTTACACTTTTCGTGTCGCACAATCGAACTTACTATACCGTACCAAAGAAGTTTTATTTCGTACGCCTATTGGTCGAATTTTCGTTACACTTCCCGTGTCGCACAATCGAACTTACTACCGTACCAAAGAAGTTTAATTTCGTACGCCTATTGGTCAAATTTTCGTTACACTTTCCGTGTCGCACAATCGAACTTACTACCGTACCAAAGAAGTTTCATTTCGTACGCCTATTGGTCGAATTTTCGTTACACTTTCCGTGTCGCATAATCGAACTTACTACCGTGCCAGAAGAAGAACCATCTCGCCAACGCCGTACGCCTATTAGTCAAATTTTCGTTACACTATTTGTGTCGCACAATCGAACTTACTACCGTACCAAAGAAGTTTCACTTCCGTTACACTTTTTCGTGTCGCGAATCGAATTCACTACCGTGCCTAAAGAAGTTTCACTTCAAAAATTCTGCGATATCTGTCATTAAAGAGCAGCATAATAATCGAAATGATACATACTCTTGTCCAGAGTCGATAATTTCCATTGGTGCATGCTCTTCCATTGTACTTGCATTTACAGCACAGGGATCAGTGATGATATCCAATATTGTGTATGGAGTAGGTTCCGGGATAGCGTCTTTTTCAATACTGTTCTTTGTACAACCAACAAGTTCTGCATAAGTTGGTATTCCGGAACTGTAAACGTTACAAAAAATGCACTGTTATGGTATGTGAAATATATATATGTCAATAGAATTTTACATCAAAATCAACTTTCAAACTCAAGTTTCCAACTCAATGTCAATCTTGGATTCAAAAGTACGTCGCATTCAAGCTTCGAACTTTACATCAAAGTATATTTTGTAATTCTACAGGAAACTTGAGCTTTGAATTATACATTAAAATCTAATTATAAGAATGTTACATTAAAATCTAGATTTAACTTCTATATAAAAATCTAATGTCTAATTCAAGTTTCCATCTCTAATTGAAATTCGAATCTAAAACAAAGTCGAACTCAGGTTTCGAGCTCTATTTTTCGATGCTACATCGAACTGTATTTTTCAATTTCATATTAAAATATATTTTGTATTGTAAATCGAAATCAATTTTTCATTCTTACCGAACTGATTTCTGTGAAGGTTCTACACCATTACTGTCATAAGATTTCTCAAATGGATACAATCGCTTGTGTCTATCATTTGGTAAATTGAGAAATTCTGTTGGTATCGATCCTTTTTTGAGGCGACGTTTTACATGTGGTTTAATACCTTTGGAACGCGGTTTGGTCATTCGTTCCTCGAAGCAGTTTGACTGAAAATGTACCTCGCATATTCTTTCTGAAAGTAATTTTAATAAAAATTATTGTATTAAGAAATTTAAGTTATGAGCGTTAGGTTATGAGGTTATATAACATAATTTAATACTAATAATTATATAATTTAATAATAATAATACCGATATAATAAAATATTTTAATTACCCCCGAGAAAAAATGATTAGATATAATCACATATGATTATATAAAATCGACATTAGATATAATTAGATATAAAAAATGGCCCAATATAATTGTATATAATTATATATAACCACATATAATTATATAACCATATATGGTTATATATAATTGTATGTGGTTATATCTAATTATATTTAATGTTGATTTTATATATAATCATATGTGATTATATCTAACATAATAAATATTTTATATATATTAAAAAAGAATTCTGTTAACTTCGATTAAGGAATAAAGCATTGATAAATTAAATGTATATTTTTTTCAAAAGCCAGAAATAAAAGTGAAATGATTTACATATAACTTGGCGCTGGTTGGCGTGAGATACTGCCGTGTCTTTTGATACCATTCTTATACCATTGTTTGTCAAATTTTAAATACGAGAAATAAATCCTATCGGATGCCATCTATCGGATAATCCCAATTTAAGTTTATATATGGCTATATATAATCATATATAATCTACATGGATAAATGCTTAATTCTTATATATATATATTTTTTTTATATATAAATTATATGAACTTATATATAATCATGTCAAAATGTATGTGAAACTTTATATGTATATATATATATATATATATATATATATATATATATATATATATATATTTAATAGGATTCGTTTCTCGTATTTAAAATTTTTGACGGACAGTGGTATAAAAACGGTATCAAGAGACACGGCACTATCTCATGTCAAGCAGTGCCAAGTTGTAATATATGCATGGAATAAATCATTTCACTTTTGATTCTATAGCTTTTGAAAAAATATACATCTTAACTTATCAATGCTTTATTATCGAAGTTAACAGTTCTTTTCCAATATATATTGACTATATATGGTCATATATGGTCATATATGATTATATATGATTATATATAATTATATATGATCATATAGAGACAAAATTCATATATAATTGCATTATATGTATATAATTATATATGTATATTTATATATCTCTATATATAAAGGAAGATGTCCTGACTGACTGACTCACTCACTCACTCACTCACTCACTCACTGACTCATCAACGCCCAGCCCAAACCCCTGAACCGAATTTTTACCAAAAGTATATGAAATAAGGGTAGAATTTTCCGGGGAGTGCCACTATGTGTATAGTTTTTTTGTTACCGATTTTCTGGAAACCGATTTTTTTAATTTTTCCTATTTTTCGAAAAATAATTGATCAAATCTCAACAAATTATAGATCAAACAAAGATAGAATTTTCCAAGGAGTACTATAAAGTGTATAATTTTTTGTTACCGATCTTTTGGAAGCCGGTATCGAAATTTTTTCAAATAATTTTTACCAAAAGTATATGAAATAGGGGTAGAATTTTTCGGGGAGTGCCACTATGTGTATAGTTTTTTGTTACCGATCTTTTGGAAGCCGGTATCGAAATTTTTTCAATCCTTCGGGAATTAATTGACCGAATCTGAAAGAATTGTATATGAAGTAGGGGTAGAATTTTACGGCGAGCGCCATAATGTGTACAGTTTTTATTACCGATCTTTTTAGAAACCGGTTTTTTTAATTCTTTCAATTTTTCGGGAAATAATTGATTAAATGTCAAAGAATTATACATGAAGTAGGGGTAGAATTTCCCGGGGAGTGCTATAAAGTGTACTATTTTTTATTACCGATCTTTTTAAAAACCGGTTCCGAATGACCGAATCTCAAAAAATTGTACATAAAGTAGTGGTTGAATTTCCCGGGGAGTGCTATCAAGTATATAATTTTTTGTTACCGATCTTTTTGAAAAACGGTATCAGAAGTTTGACGAATTTTTCAAGAAATTAATCGAATTTTAAAAAATTGTATTTAGAGAGAGAGAGAGAGAGAGAGAGAGAGAGAGAGAGAGAGAGAGAGA